GGGGACCACAAAGACTCATCCTAGAGAGAGGAGTACAGCAGCAGACAGCAGATGTAAGACAGGAACAGTGTTCTTTACATAATTTAAAAACAAAACCCCCAACAACACTAAACAAGGGATACCAATCTTCAATTCTACTTGTAAAAACAAGTGTGGCAGGGGGGCTATAGGCATGAAAGACTGATCCATGATTTGCAAACAAATCCATGTGTCTCTATTTCTACCTGGAACACTTTAAGGGTGCATCTTTAGCCAAGATGCAATAGTTAACCACAAAGGTAAGTAAAGTAAAACCACTCACTCAACCCTGGAGAGCAACACCTTCAAATAAGGATTACACGTTCCCCATGAAGAGGCAGAAGCCTAACACAGAAAGCCCTCAATCTAAGAAGAGGGAGTTTGCCGTAGGGAAGCCAGTGCATCCCCAGGAGTCAAAGTTTTAAGAAAGTTGTGGCTTGTTTATGTCCCCCTTCTAGATTATGAATGCAGCCAGAGAACAGCACAAGTAAAACCAAATGGTGTAGCATACCACCAGGGACGTGCTAGTCTCCTCATACTGCTTGGACAGCCAGCAAGCCCCAAGGCCCCTGAGCCAGGGCATCCTGATGAGCAGCGACCTCCCACAATACTTCAGTACCATGTCCCACGTCCCAGCTAAGAAGCAAAGAGCAGCCTCCCTTGCCAGAGATCCCTTTAGATCCCAATAAAGTTGCACTAGCCATAATAGCTTTGTTTTACGTATTCCATGTAATATAATATTGGAAATTGGTCTGCAGTTATGTAATTGCAAAGGAAATGGCTATGGTGCTGCTCAGCCCAGCTGAAAAAAAATGTCCCCAGTGTTTCCACCACAGACATGGTTCTCAGGGGCTGCAAGGGAAGAGCACCCGTTCTGTCTGTGAGCAGAGCAGCAGCGGAGGCAGAGGTGCTTGGGACTACGCTTATACTTCACCATCTGTCAGGTTTTCCATTGCAAACACTGCCGCCACAGTTTATAGCTTGACCATTTCCAGCCACATCCACACAAAACTTGGCAGAGAGAGAGCTGCTCTGGCCCAATCCCTCCCCCTTCTACCTTAAAGAAATCTGTGTCAGATTCCTGCTTTAAAGACTCGACATTTCTTTTCTGCAGCAGAAATACATTTTTAAGTCATTCCACAAGGCTTTATTTTTGATTTTTTGTTAAGGTTTAAAAGAAGCCTGTGTACTTGACAGACAAGATTTGTCAACTAAACTTGTCAAAATCAATGTCAGCTACTCATGTTGTTATTCTGAAACAGCTCAGAAATGCTGAGTGCAGGTTGGTTACACAGTGCCTTTAAACAAATCACAGTCACTCCTAGCAAGGAAAATGAGCTCTGTAACTGCAACCTGTTCCCAAATACCACCTGTAGAGAATGTAAACCTCTAGGTTTCTCCTGATGTATTTGTGACCATTGCTACCTGCAGATTTTCCTCATCAGCTACAGAGGAGAGAAAGATCCACCAGATACAGCAGACACACTGTGGGTCCTCTGCTCATGGAACCAGAATTAAGGTCTGAAGGACAATTTTTGTTGAGCCAAGATAGGCATTCACTGCAAAACCCAAGTACCAAAGTCTGAGAACTAGTACCTTACTAAATAATTTGTTCTTTAGTATGGAAACCCTACAGATTTCTTTCAGTCTAGCAACATTTGCTTCCCGGCAAGTGCAGCAAGCCAGGTTACAGTGACCCATGGGCTTCATAAGAGATGAAGGTTTTCAGAAATTATTCACCACACATGCTACAATTACCTTGCTTTTAAGTCATAAAACTGAGCAGAAATTTCAGCTCCAAATGATGTCCAAGTTGTTAATTTTATTGGCACAATAATGAAGAGAATCTTACCCAACTCTTCTAGTTAAAGAAAACCAAGCATGAGACAAGGCCCCACCAAGTGGGCTTCCACATGTCTGCCTACGAGACATCTTAAATACCATCTCTTATATAGGAAAAGTAACTGAATAATTCTAAACAAACTTAAGTTAACATAGCTTGAAGACAGCCAAGTAGGACTTGAATAAATCACACACCAAATGCCCTCCTCCTGCCCTATACACTGGCTTTGAAAGTAGAGCTTACTTCCTTTCAGGGGGGTACACAACTTGGAGGCAACCATCAGAGGAGATGGTAAATCTAGCTCAGGCCCTAGAATTGTTTGGAAGAAAACATCCAGCAGGACATGAAACAGGCACCATTGTTCTGAAATGAGTTTTGAGCTCCCGATGTGAAAAGCATAGGGCTGTTTGATGAGTAAGGGGAAGGTGTTTTTTTCCCTACAAAGCCACGCAACAGAACCAAGTCCAGGTTTTCCCCACTCCAGGGGACAGAAGAACTTTTAAAGTGTCCCTAGGCATTACCAAGCAACCCTATTCAAAGGGTTTTCAAATCCAACTACCTCAAAGTACAGTTATAAAACCCAGATCGGACATATGATATGCTATATGCATGCTTACACACAAGGAAGTTTCAGATACTGGCCTAGCAGCACACCCAATACATACTGTCCAGTCTGATGGGACTTCTCAGCCATGCAGCTAACATCCTTCCTTCCTTTCACTAAGGAAACTTCCTGCTGCAGGTGAAGTATGCAACACCTTACATTACCTTTGTCTGTCTGCATCAGAAGAATGAGCTTAATTTATACAAACAGTTTCGCAACACTTGCCAACATAAACATGCAGTCAGATGAAAGACTACATGTGTGCACAGTCCAATAATCTATTTTCTTGAAAAGTATATCCCCATTTTCTTAGAAGTTATAACCACATTTTCTAGGCTTGCTTGCCTCACTAGACAGATACCCAAATTCAAACAATAACCCATGAGTTTTGAAAGCTGGCACTTGAGAAACTTCTGCTAGTTACATTACATGCCCTTCATAGGTTCAGCAATAGCTGAAGAAGACAAGAAGTCATAGTATTAAAGTCATTCCTGTGGTATCCCTAATCTAGGATAGGGCAAGAGTGTGTTTGGACTCCTGTTCTTGGAACAACTTAAACATGATTTCCCTGCCAGAACAGTTTAGACCAGCATCCAAGCAAACAATGCTCTCTCCATGACCAATCTGTGACTTATGTTTGTTTGTTTTTTTTTTAAAAGGTATCTATATCTTCATTTTATACATACACACACACATATATGTAAATATATATATAGGCAAGATCACAGCATTGATCTCAGGACTTCACATTTCCTTCCTTGTTTACATGATCATTAAAAAATCTGGCTGCTAAGAATCAGAATATGGCCTTAAGAACTGTAATCCAAGTTGAAGGATGCTTCCTTAGAAGAGTCACATTTCTGGATCCACTAAATTCAAACCCTGACACTCTCCATTTATATCTCCACATACTATGTGGCTCAATACAATACAATGTGAACTATGCAAGGCAGAGAAGCCACATTAAAAGAAAACACAAAAGCACTGTAATTTAGAATTCAGACACTTCTTGCATTATTTAACAGCCCAATTCCCTTGGCTCCATAAGCCATTATCCAAGACAGGGACATCATGGGTATGAATACAAGTTGCCACAATAACCAGCCCTGTTCTGACAACAGTAATACCCACTATTGACAGTGAGGAGCCCTCAGGCTTGGAAGGGAGGATGCTTGTCCAGCAGCCCAGAAACAGTTTAAGAAGTCAAGACATTTTTCCCCCTTCACTCATAACGGTTGCTTTAAAATGGGGCAGATGAGCATTTTGGCCTCTACCAGTTTCATGAGTGATACAGTCAGTACCCAGGAAACAGGCATTTCTGTTCACCCTAGCCAGTGCATTTCCACACACTATCCTTTTGGACACCACACTAAATCAGAGGCCAGCAAACTGGCTGTATCACTTTGAGCCAAACAAGCATTAGGCTTTCATACAGCAGAGAAATCACCACTCAACTGAAAGAGGAAAAATACAATGCAAGGTTATTCACAGCGATGACCAGACTCAGAGCTTTGGAAGCCGGATCTGATCAGGGTGACCTGGTTCCCTCAAGCTCTGGCGTGCCCAGCTTCCTCCAGAGCCAGCAAGTTATGAGAGCCCTGCATGTGGAGCTACCACAACATGAGCCTTTGCTAAAGCATCTCCAAATGCTGCAGGTCCTCTGGATGAGGACATGCAAGTCACAAGTGGACTGGAAACCAGTCCTGGACAAATGCTTTGCATTAATACACAAGAAGCACTGAAGGGGAGGAGGAGGAGCTGCTGAAGACAGGCAGTTATTCAAACCAGCTGCTAACCCACTCCAGCCACTCACACATACACAGCCTCCCACATTTGTTCAGCCTGACTCAAAACTACCGGGCATCCAAGAGTTAAAGTACACAAAAGACATCTATACGAACACTTGCCAAAAATCTCATTTTCCAAGTGCAAGCTGGTTGTTCCACGGATGGCAGAAGAGATTTCATCTCGCTTTTACATGATAGCCTCTGCCTCCTCACATCAAAATTCTCCAATTAACACTTCTGCAACAAGTTTTGAAACTGTGCATGGCCACGTATATATCGACGCACATTCTCTCCCCTCCCTACCGAGCTCTGGGCCAGGGGCTAAGCTGTCAAGCCAAGTTTCATCCCAAGTAATTTTTAAACACTCATCCTATAAATCCTCTGAAAAGGGAGTTAGTAATGGAAATGCTGACACAGACTTGAAGAGACAGGAGGGCAACTATATCAGTGTAATATACATCAGCTTCATTAGCTGCAGATCCTTCTCTCCTTCACCTTCATTTTCCATTATCGTATCCTGGCTAATTAACACACAAAACCTATGAAACATTCTTACAGTAGAAGGCAACATTTGGCCCCCAGCCCAAATCAACATTGAGAAACTTCAGCGTCCCCAGCCAGACACAGTAACAGAACCAGATGGAGCTAACGTACAGCCACAAGTAGTGATGAGGAAACCGAAAGAAGAGGAACACATGCAAAAAAACCTGGACCATTGGATGAGTGAAAAGCAGAAAACGTGTCTTACCGCTTTCGTTTTTCTCTATGACATCCACGACCTCTCCAGCCTGGAGGCTGATCTCAGAGTTCTCCTGTTTCTCATAGTTGGACACCACCACATATTGCTCCAGGATCATGGGTTCAGAGCTAGCATCAGCACCTGGGGAAGGGAAAAAGCAAGCCGTAAGCCAGCTTCCAGCCATGGTTCCTTGAGAGCGACCTCCGTCCATCCGATTCACAACAGGCCAAGTTGTCACCAGAGCCAAGCGAATCAGCAAACAACCCTGGCTCACAGCATATCCCCAAATGGCTGGCCATATAGAAACAGCCTCCTCTGGCCCACAACCCAGCAGCACAGAGGGACATTGGAGAGAAGAAGAAGAAAAAAAGGGGAGCGGAAAAAAAAAAACCAACAAAAAAGAGCCAAAAACCAGTGAATTAGCTGCAAAGTTTCACGATGGATTCTGAAAATAAACCTCTTCCCAACATGGTTTCCACAATCCTTGCTCCCATTCAGAGAGAAAAGTTCTGGGCTGAAGCAGCATAAATCCACAGCTGAGCCATCCCCCCCAGTGAACCCAAAGAACAAACAGCTCTCCCCTTGGCGGCTCAGCTCCTTCTCCACTCTAAAGGCTTGAGCTGCAAGTCAAGAGGGGGCTGTAGATGCCAATCATATTCGTCTGCACTGCAGCCCTTAAATAGAAACACATGAGCAGGACTGAAGGAGAGGGAGGTGGGGTGGAGAGAGAGAGGGGAGGGCGGGGAAGAGTGTTTACTTGAAACAGAAGAAGAAAAAAAGAGAGTTATAGCTCCAGATCCTTGCTCAAACACAGCCACCCCCCGCCTGCCCCCCACCAGCTCTGCAGTTCCGCATTCCCCATGGCAGAGCCGCCCCGAGCGGGACAGGGGCACAGCACAATACGGCTTCCCCCTCTCCATCGCTCATTTTTTGAGCCTTTGGAGCCAGCCTCTCCAGTTGTTTGGTTTCTCTTTGTATGAAAGGCTTTCGAGTGTCAGAGCCATTTATGAATGGGAATGGGCTCTCACACAAACGGGTGAAAAAAGGTCCAAAAAAAACCCATTCTCCCTTTCCCCACACTCCTGGAATTTCTTCTTGGGTTTGTTTTTGATTTGACTTTTCCACTCCCAAACTGAAATCGTGCATTTCAGGATGCAGCTGCAAGGCAGGCACACCACCGTGCCAGACAACGAGGGAGACCTCATTGCACTGCTGCTCGTGGTATGAGCTGCATCTCAGCTCTCTGATGCAACATAAATAGTGCAGGCAGGGGCCTCTGCACTCCTAAGCACCCACTGTGCTCTGCCTGGAAACTGCCTTGAGAAGTCATGAAAACCTTTAAGACATCAGGGTTTCTTAATTTGCCCTCATTTATGCGCTCTTCAAAGTGTCAGACCAGAGCAAAAAGCACTGACAACTTCTGTCTAAGAGCCAACATGCCTTAATGCAAAATTATTTTACGGGTTTCCTGAATTACAGCAACGGGTATTAAGGCAGCGTAGTTTGGGCCAAGAGCATTATTGTACATTTTAAATACTAAGAGGCAGTTCCTGTCTCTCTAGATTAAGGTGGAAAGGGGAGACAGAAGCAGATGTGCGACTTGCTGAAAGTCCCATTTCACGTGATGGGGGCAGAGCCAGGAGCAGACTCCAGGTCTCCTGAATCTCTGATGACAAATTGGCTACAAGAGACGGGAAGGAAGCAGCATGGTCTGAAACTGTCCACCAGACAAGTCAGGAGACTGACCGCCAAGCACAGGATACTCAGCACTGTACTTCCAAATGCAGCATGTTCATATGTATTGGGGCTAAAAATGCAAAGTGATTCTACAGACAAATAATTAGCATCCCTGCCAAGAGAGAGGTAAAGAATTCATCAGCCATTAAAACAGCATCCTGTGAAATGAAAATCCTAGAACAAAAAGCAATTAATCGAACCATTTCCTGAAAGGAAACGCTATCACAATGCCTCCCTTTGGACCAGATTTAAGAAATCCTGAAAATTAGATGACATCCTTGCTCCCTAAGCGTGCCTCTGACTCTCCTCAGGTTACATAGGTTAATTTTCTTTAAAGAGGAGTCATCTCCTCTAGAAGTTTGTGTTTAAGAGATTTCTATAGATAGCTGATCCACAGCCAGCAGTGGGAATAGGGGGAGACGACCTTGAACTGACAACATGGAAATTTATAATGAAAATTTTCACCATAGCTGTTCATTCCAAATAAGCGTCGTATTTCTGTTCATGATGAATCAACTTGACTTGTGTGTTCCGGTTTAAGCCACTGCTAACTAGGTTACCCAGAGTGTAATGCGATGCTTTTCCCTGTTTCACATTGCTTCCTGCACAATTCCATCTCCAGTCCTTAATGGAGCAGCATTATCATCTTCGTTCAACCTATTTGTGCAATTAATACCTACAACCCCAACTTTGTTCTAGTCTTAATATAAATACTAGTTCCCTAATCAGAAACAAAAAACCATCATGGCTTTATGTTTATGCAGAAAATTCATTGTGTGGAAAGGCAGGGGAAATGAAGGAAGCTACTTGCGAAATACCCCAAATGTCTTCTTTCCTCTAATCTCCTACATAATTTTCATGGGAATAAGGGAAAAAAAAAAAAAAAAATAAAAAAATCACCAAAACACAACACTGGCTCGGTAGCAGGAGCAGTCAGTGCTCACGTGATGCACATGTCCCTGCTGGGAACAAGGAGAGGACCAAGCAGGCTGGCAAACACCCCACTGTCAGTCACCAAGGCTGAGCCAGGGACCATGTGCCAGGGAAGCACCCTTGCCAGGAAACCTGGAGAAGCAGCACTTCCAATCCACCTCCGCAACTCTGGCTCCATAAAAAGTGGGTTTACAACAGTCTGGCAAGATAGGTTATAGCTGCACTCGCCTATCCAAACCCCAGCAGAACTTTACAATGCCATTTACTCTGTCCTGCCTTGGATAAGGTACTCATTGCAGGAGAATTTCTTTGTCACTACACTGGCTGGTGCAACATGCACAATTAAGAAACTGTTTTAACAGAAGCTTTTGTAAGTGTTACAGGGTTCCTATTAAGACAAGAGAAAGTAGAAATACATTATTCGCTCCAGGAAGTAATCAAAATCAAACTTGTTCATTTATAGGCTGCAGCATATCACGCTTAGAGAATATCTCCCTTCAGAGGGATGGGGTCCCTGTGGCTCCCGGAGTGATGCTTGCCCAGGATGAGCCACTGCAGGGTGGGGAAGACTTCAGTAACTATAAAGGAAGAGAGAAAGGAGGAAGGGATGGAGGAAAGAAGACCGAGAAACAGCTCCTCCCAGTAATCAAAAGCCTTAAACATTTTCTGGGTAGCCTGGTTTAGGTTGTTCCTGTATTCCCTTCAGGAACAGTCAGTAGGGGAATATACTTCAACTGTCTTCAGCATCCCGACCTCCACAAGCATTTTTAGATGAATTATTCATCAGTGGCACTCAGGATGCCCACAAAATTGCCAATAGGTTAGGTTAGGATGTGGGTTTTTTCCCCCAAAGGGGATACAATAGAACAAGACAGGCAACACCAGAGAGAGCAGTTATACCCACTGCCGTGGGTGCTGCCACATCCCTGCCAATTAGTTCAGGTCAAGCTGTAACACAGGACACAGCATCGTACTGAAGCGCAACAGGCTGCTCAGTGTGAGGCATGCCAGAGAAGAGGGATGCAGAGTGGCACGAGTTCCCCAGCAAGCTCACATGCACACTGCAATGACCCTGACATTACAATCCCTCTTTCAAAAAGCCTCTTCAGCCCAGGAAGGAGAAGCAGAGAGCAGAGGATAGGGTAAGGCTGATGTGCCAGGTAAAGTTCCCCTTCCTATCCCCAAAAAAAGCAGAATTAGTGTTTTGGTTTAGCTCCAACTTGCGAGCCCTCCCCAGAGCAGAGCACATGAGAGATTGCTGCTGAAATAAGAGTTTGCTTGCCTCTCCATTTCTTTTTGCCTCGAGTCCGTTTCCTGGTTAAAGTCTTGAGGATACCCCTCCTCCTCTCCATAGGGCTCCACTTTATAATCCTCCCGCTCCTCACCTCAGCGGTTCCCTTCCCAGGGCTGGGCAGGAATGTCATCGGAGCTTGTCCATGCTCCTCACAGCTGGCACTATTAAGTGACACAGTTGCACCCTGTCCCCCTCACCAGGCAGTGAGGAGGAAGCATCATTCCTCCCGCTGTACTCAGAGACCAGCAACTACTGTGAAAGCCTCCTAAACAAGAGAGCGGAGTGCCCGTTCCAAGCAACGTCTTCCTCCTCCTCCTCCTATGTTGCAACAGCTAAGACCTATGATGGTTTTGCAATAGCCAAAAATTAAAACCACCAACCGGACTCCAAAAATAAAATCATCTGGATATGGAAATCTGAGACTCCTGATCTTTGCCAGAGTACTCTGTTGTTATCAGGCTATAAACATGTCTGCTCTTTTAATCCATACAGCACACAGGCTTTTATATAGCCCTTTTATGATTATCAATCGAGTGTTTACAGATTCTGACTAAATGAATTAGTACTGGGCTGGTCAGTGGAAGCTTTGCAGAAGCAGCCAAAACCACAGAAACGGTCAGCGAACGCCATGAGGATGACTCACGGCTGAACAACCAGCTGGCAGGTAGTCCAGCCCCACTGACCTGGGCACAACGGCTGAGGACACGTGCAAGGTCTGCACACAGGGCTGTCTGGCAGAAGGCAGCCCCCAGTGTCACAGCTTTCCATACAATAAAGTTGGCGCTTTGCACTTTTCTGCTCATAGGGAGGAGTAACTGTGGTAGCTTGGCTCTAGAGCTGTGGTTTCTTGTTAAAGCCAATTCTTGAAGGGTAAGCCTTTACTTATCTCTGGAAAACTCCTTTTGTGGAAGGAAGAAAATACCCAGAATAGCAGCAGCAAGCCTACTTAAAATCCTCAAATCAGTCTATCCCCTCACAACTATCATATGCCCAGCTCTAAACACAGGGATTTTCTTCCCCTTAAGACATTACCCCTTTTCTTTCTTATCAGAAGGACCATGTCGCTGTGCTAAATAAACATATTACAACTGCATACTTTGAGCCTTCCACCAGTGATCTATCCCCAAGTACTTTAAGACAGAGAGCTTAGGTTTGCCTAAAAACTGGGTTAAGTGTCTACTGCACACAAGATAAAGAACAGGCTTTACCACATAAAGCACACGAGATTACACAAGAACTCACAATCTTACATGGGTCTGTAAAAAGCAGTTCCTAAAATAACCAGTTCCTAGAGTAAGCAGTGGGATGAGACTGATGAAACCTCCTACAAATCTCCCTGGGAACAATATGGATTTAGACCAAAACAAGGTTTCTAAGCCCAAGATCTCTCTTCTATTCAATGGGGGCTTTTTGTCTCCTATTTTTGTTTATTCCTTGTTCTGGGTTTTGTTCTTAATGTGCCCTAAACAATCAGGCCTTTGATTCACCTCCTGGTTAGCCCTGCACCGCAGCCTGTCACTCCTCAGCCCCTTTCCCATTTCCCAAAATGCAGACTGTAATTGCATGTCAGTTATTCTTAGTGGTAAAAGGCAACTCACGTCTTGTGGCAACAGGAAAGGGGAGTAAGTCCAGTTCGGTCTCCAGGTCTTAGCAATAAAACAGCACTGGCAAAAATCCCTTTGCTTCGTTACTGATGATATACATATTGGATAAGCCTATCAAATGGGTTAACACAGTATCATTTCTGCAGCTCTCTCCTGAGCTCAGCCAGGTAGCTCCTTTGTGAAGAGCAAAGCAATTCTGTTATGCTTTCAGAAAAAGAGTTTCAAAGCAGGTGACACCCCGCAGTTAGGCCAAGATGGGACTAAAAGCAGAAAGGCATTTGTCAGTTGGAGTCCAACAGCTTTAGTAATTCAGAACGCATAAAGCCAGAGAAGCTTGGCCTAAAACCTTGTCCAAATCCAAAAGAATGCCTGAGAATAAACCAAGGTTGAGCACCAAGCACCCAGAGACGGCCAGGTCATGTGCAAACTCTCTCACATGAGGTCAGCAGCCATGATTAATGTACAAGAAGTTTCTCCATAACTGAGCATCTATACGTACACTTTCTTAACTCCACAGCACTCATGTGCTCTGCAAGACTTTCAGTACATAGGGCAGTGGCTTCCTTGCAGAGTATCTAAAATCTTTCTTGTTATCTTTCTGGCTACACATGCAGAAATCTGGCACAGATGGGAACTCCATGAGCTGCATTAACTCCCTCCTGGTCCCCTGGATTGCTACTACAAGCCAACAGCATGAGTTGCCACTAAGAAGGGAATATGACCCAAAATCACAGAAGCTGAAAATTAACCTGATGTCTGGATTCATTCCCCAACATAAGGCACACACATTATTTTCTAGGACTTCTAAGAAAGAAGACCTGGATAAGCTTTCAAGAGATGGGACAAATGGCATCTTTAGGGTAGACTGTGGCTTCCAGCACTGGAGTACGTGTCTGACACACAGCTAAAACCAGCAGCAAAACACAACCCCTGTGGGGGAATGTGTCAGGAAGGAGCTTGGCCCATGGCAAATGGCAGGCGCTCTCTCAAGTGAGTGCTCCAGTTCAGTTCTTCCTTCTTTGCAGTCCTCGGCAGCATTTCCAAATAAATCCTGACAAATGGATAAATTTAGTGCTGACCTTTGCCAAGGAGCTTGTTAAACCCAGGATTTTTTTAAATTTCATTTTTGATCTGCTGGGTTTTAAGACAGAGCCAAGAAAAATGAGAGGGTGAAAAGAAAAAAAACAAAGTGGAGTCTTCTTTCCACTCCTTCTTGGAAAGCTGGCTCTCTGAGCAGTGATTCCAACCAAGTAGGTTACAGGTAGCAACAGTTAAGAATACTTAAGTATTTTGCACACAAATCTGTTAAACTGCTTGGAGATTTTCACACAGCTGCTAGACACGCTCTTCCACTAGGATGAAGTCACCTACATATGCTGGCATTTGCTCTAGTCCTGCTCAGCAGTGCAATGAATTCACGTTACTCCACGTGGCACAAAGCAGGCTAGCCAAGGAACTTAATGGTAATTGGAGTGCCCCAAATTAGTGCCCCACTACAGCACCTCTCAGGATCTGGCTGCATGGTACCCATCTTTTTCCAAAGTAGGTTATTAAACCATTTTTAATCCTTAGCTAGAGTCTTCACTTCATGGAGCAGGTATACGCCCTCAAATGGGGCTCAGGAAAGATGGCTTCTGTTTTAGCCCCTAACCCCCAGCCTTGGACACAGATATGTGCTATGCAGGTAAAGATCATTTTCAGATTTAGGTCTGCTCCATTAGCCTGCCACATTAGGCTATAGCCCATGGCAGGTCTGGACTGAAGAGTAGCCGTGTTGGAAACTGGGGATTAATTTAGATGCTAAGTAGAACAAAAGGCCATGTGAACTGGAGCAGCGTGGGGGGGCTAAGTAGCTGCCAGATATACTGGAAGACCTCTGAGCAGGACTGTGTATCAACACTCACCTTCTTGAGCACCATGCAATGCAATTAATCACTTGCATTTGCCCCATAATCATACACAGACTGGTTTTGAAGCCAAACTAGCAACATGCATTTAGCTAAAAGCAGTCAGCAGAAGGGTTCCCCCAGCCCGGTAATCTGAGGGCTTCTTGTCATTCTTCCCAAGTGATACCACCTCTTCTGTCTCCTCCTCACCTCTGCTCAGTCTCGTTCTGTTTCTCTGCCTGAACTCCCTGGTGACCTATCAACCACCAGGCTCCTGTGACTGAATACTTCACATATTTCTGCACTTTTATACCCTACTACCACCCTGAAATTAAACCTACTCTGCTAAGATCAGGCAGAACTTCCCCCCAGGGATATAAGCAAATCTGTCAAGGACAACATTTCTGAAATCACAGCAGTCTTGCTTATTAAAAATCTCAGACAAGCAAGCACTCGGCCACCGAAGTTGGTGGGATTTTGTTCACATATTTTGAGCAGGGCATGAACTTGAATATTTACCAAAGCAGGCATTGAAAGCAGCAGGAGTGTTTATAACTTTCTTTGCCTCGAGACCTACATGTGGCCTTAACCAACTGCATGACTAGGCCAGCATCCTTTACAGACACAAGGTCTATGGCTCATGATCAGTTTTCCCATGTCTGAAGGAAGACAAGACCTCTTTCCTGGTATTCCACATCAGGTGAAAAATGTTTGCAGAAGAAATCCACTGGTTACTCAGGAGAAGTCCTGATTTCTTATACTATAAGGCTTAGTTTTCTCCTTGTATTGGACTACTATTACCAGAACCTGACGTCACTTAGAAGCTGTTTCCCTGCTCCCTCCTCCTTTCCAACATCTTGTGACAAGGAATCTGATGCTCCCGTGAAAATTTAGCATCTTCCTCAGTCATACGTTTTCTATATAAACCCCTTCATACTTACTGTGGAAAAGCAAAACAGCATTTCAGAAGAACAAGCAGCACATAGTCATGTTTCTGTCCTTTATTCACAAGATTTCTCACTTTTGCGGTTCTTCTATCCTCCATCCCACATGGGATAGTGAGCGAGCAGCTGTGCAAGTATTTGTGCAGAGTCAACCCACACAAGAGGCTTTGGATTGTGGCTTTGAGTTGGGCAAGAAAGATGCAACACAACAAACTACCCCTGCTACCAGCAACATCATGGTGAGGCAGCAGTCAGAAAAGCAAAGTTCTTACTTATCAGAAATCATGCATTGTGAAAAACAATATATAGGTAGACAACAAGGTAGACAACAGATCCTGGATATCCACTGTCAGAAACCCACATTCAAAACAGCTCCAAAACCACACACAGTTTGAACTACAGACTTCTCTTTTTAATAGCATGCAGAACACCAAGACAAGAAATTACCTGGAGTGACACTCTTTTTTGGAGTCTCAGACAAACTGGACATCCAAACTTGGAATCCAAGAAGAGGGCAGATATGAAAAGAGAAAGTAATTAGAGAAACAAGAAAACAGTCATATCAGAAAGTCTGAAAGTTAGTCTAAGACAGCTTTGAAAGGAACATTAAGTTTTTCTTAAGAGTGGTGTTGGCATAATGGGGACTCACTTAAAGGTCAAGTCCTAACAACTATCCAGTTAATTTTTGTATTAATTTAATGCAGGACTTATGAAACTGATCTTTAGTGATCCAATTTTGAGATCTCAGAATAAGATATACTCTGAGCTAATTCCCAGTAGGACAGGAAATGCATATCAAGAAACAGTTTGACTTATTAAGCCTCAGACCTGCAAAAGTATTTAGCTTTGCAGCTGTTAGCAATCCCCAAAAGACCAACAGGCAACTCACAGAGATTGAGCTTAGTAAACACATGCAAGTTTCTACAAGTGTTTTGTTATACCCTGGAATAGCATTAAGGAAAACAACAATAGACAAGCAACGCTCCATGGAAAAAAGTACAAAGCTCCAATAAAGGTACATTCAAAGCATCACTAGAAATACCACTTTCTTTTAGCCAATGAATACGGCACAGAAACCCAGTTAAGGAGAAAGCTAACAGAGTTGCTACCAAGAAGGTCAAAAGATTTCCCTCCCCCTCCATGAAATGAGGTGCAAATACTTGGGTTGGGATTCTGGGAATAATTTTCAAACGTTGAGTGCTTGGGTTTGGGTTTTTTTGTTTCAATACACTGGAAGCATGTTTCACAATTTAGCAGGTTTGCCCCCTTTCTAAATGAAAACCAGCAAACACTCCTCTTCTTGGAATGAGGGTGCAGAAGGGTAGCTGTTACTTTCACATTGCCTGGGAGAAGAGACAAGGATAGGCTAAGAACTTCCTGCATTCTGACAAAAAAAAAAAACAAAACAATTTAAAAACCCATCTGCAATGGGGAACCCAGTTCTGGACCCACCAATTTAACAGCACAGAAGACGCACCCTCCAATCACCTAGAGAGAGGGGAAAGCTATATTGGTGGCCTCCTCTGCTAGACTTGCTATTGTCTTTTGACTTGCAGAATTTTGTCAAGTCGGCCAAAAATCAGTAACAGATTCCTAGTACGTACATAACTGAGAAATTGCTAGCATGATACAAAGCATAAGAAACAGCTTTCAAACCTTCCCACTGGAAACCAGAGGTCCAAGAAACACATTACTGCATTTCCTCAGCTCAATGGGAATGGTGAGGTTTTGAAATCCTTTCTTTAAATCAGACACGCAATTTTTACTGTGTTAGAGCAAAACTGTAATTCAGATGGATTCAGTATTTCGCTTACTTTTCAGTAAATCCCCCAGCAGTGCCTACTCAGGGAAAAACCTGAAATCTTCCAACCACCTAAGTCCCAAGCCCATGCACTGCACTGTCACAATATAGTACAAAATACACTGTGGTAAATCACATTAATTTACTTTGGATAACCATTTAAGACAAAAAGAAAAAGCTTTGCATTGGTAGAGTGCAACAGGAAATCATCTGGCAGAGTAACTTGTGCTTTAGCTGATAGAGGGAACATACAGCATGTTTCTATTACAGACTCAGGGCACACACTGGAAAGGGTGTGAAGGAGTTGTTGTCAGCAACTTGTCTACTGGCTTTTGAATAGACTTCCACTGCCTTCAGGAACAGGATTATGGACTTCAGTCAGCAGTCAGATCTTTTTCCAGACAGAACCACCCGAATACGGCAGTGATAAATAAAGCAGAGGATGTACTGCAGGAGCAATTGGGAAGATTTCAAACAGTTTGCCCCAGTCCAAGCTGGCAACAAAAGGCTGAAACAGCCAACAGTTAAAGACAGAAACAATGAGCTGTGCTTAACACAAGCGTGGGGCTACCCTGCATCTTGTATGGCCAAGAATAGAGTGAGTTTAAACTTAGATCCACAGTAGCCATATCTACAAATGCCCTGTGTGAGTTCTCAAGGAATCAAGCTCACCATAAAAAACAATTGTTAGATACTAGCCTTTTTTAAAATTAATTTTTAAACAAAGTATTTTTTTCCTTGCCAAAAACCATTGGTCTAAACCACAATAAAAGGTCAATCTAAGGATCAACTGGTAAACAATCCCACAGGTCCCCAGCATGGGCTCCCCAGCCCAAGAAGCAGCATAAAAGCAGCAGCACTTCTCAGCTGCCCCAGCCTGACAGCAGCTCTATGTGGATGAGGTTGCTTCTGAAGCAGAAGACAGCTAGCATATTTCAGCTGCTCCTGCACATCTGCTTAGCATTAAACTTCCTTCTTGGGGATTTTTTTCTTTATTCCAAGACGTTTCAGCTCTAATTGCTACCAGCTTCTAAGAGTCCCCCCTACAAATAATAAAAATATCATACATTAGTGATGGATTCCACTTCACAGGGAGCTCAAATGAAGAGCCGCGAAGGGAGCCAGGGTATGGGGAGGAGGTCAAAGGCCCCAGAAGCACACTGTGCCCGAGCCAACTGAACACAAGCTTTGAACAGCCACTGGCTTCCCCTTTAGGACAGAGTTTTACTGGAATTCTGCATGGGGCTTGGAGCTGGTTTCCAATGGGATTGGTAACGGTAAATGAACAAACCCTCGCTTCCTGCCTCTCCTCTCCCCTGTTGCAGCATGGCCAAGCACCGGCTGGTCTCAGATGACTTGGAGGTGGGTGGGTGGGTAAATCTCAGTATTTGGAAGGGAAATTAAAGTTGCCTGCTCAAAGAAAGCCACTCCTAAGGCAACAGCATCCCAGTTCTGCTCCTAACACCAGCCCCTACAGCCCTTGCTGTCAGCTTCAGCTGGAGCCAGAACAAACCCCTCTGATCAGAATTATTTTTAAAAGCTCAAAAGAAACACAGGTCCATAAATTCCAGCTAAGCCGCAGGGCTGAGGCGGTTGTGAAGAGCACAGAGGAGGCTCCCTTTGGAGCCACGCTGCACAGAAATAGCAACAGAGCAGGCGTGTTGCTAGAAACGGCCACTGAGCCCCATCCCATCCGAGCTGCCACCACAGAGGTGGGCAACCCCAGATGGGCTCCTCAGGTGGGGAAGCAAAGGAAGGTGTTGGAGGGGTGGAAAGGCTTTAAAGACATAATTAAGCTGGTTGCTGTGGTGATAGAAACACATGAAACGGATTATTTTAGATTTCACCAGAATCTTTTCTGCTGCCAGTGAAAGCGGTTGTTTTGCTGCTCCTCCCACCACTGGCAAGAGAATAGGCGCCAGACTGCTGGGGACTAACACTTTACGCTTGCAATACAGCTCCATTCATCTCATTTTAGCAGCAGACTATTTGTCTTGTGTGCAGTCAGAACAAAAGTGAGCTTCAAGGAAAAGCTACAAAACCTAGAGTCAGTCTAGAGGCAATGTATGAGCACAGGGCTACCGAAATCCAGGAGATGCCGCATTCATGGTTCACATCAGTACTGCAATTCCAGCTGGGTCCCTGGCCCAGCAGGTGCAGAGAAACTCCTCCATAGGCATTTTAGCAGTAGCTGCTGATGCAGGTTTCTTTTTGTCAGTAACAGTGCTTAAAATGTTCAGCTCAACGTTGAGTCCATTATGTATTACTGCTGTAAAGGCCAAAAGGAACACCTTCCTAAACATTCAGAGCTTGCACCTAACAGGGGCTATCAGGGTCCTTTATAATAAACTTTTTTTATACCTAGTGTCTGTATAGCTGTCTAGCCTGCTAAGCTACATATTTCACGACAATACTCCTCTAGCAATTACCCAGAGTTGGATCATACTGCTTATGAGTCTTAGCGTGGTTGTCATTCTGGCCATGTAGCCCTTGCCACAAATTATTTCTGTGCATAGCAGAGAAGTTAATATGGGCCAAAGACAAGTCCCCACAAGTGATCTGGATGTGGCTACCTTGCTTTGGACGGTAAAAGTAGTTCAACTATACAGGCATGACCTGTTCTATGGAAGAAAACAGTCCTAGGTCCATTTAACTAATCAAACACTTTTGTTCTCATGAAGCCCTGTCTTAAACATCACTTGGAAATACTGAAATCCCCCAGCAGCTGTTAAGGTGCACCTTAAAATACTGAGAAAAGGATGACAAGAACAGGTGGCCATGCTGAAATACTAATATCTGAAAGAGACTGCCCCTTTCCAACAGTGATCAGTTCTCTAGGTCATTAGTCCTGTCCATGAGGAGGTAGTAGTGGCTCAGTTATTCAAGGACCACAGTGGTGAGTGCAGCTGAGCATTTTGCAGATTCATTTCCCAGACATAAACCCTTCCTGTCTTTATTGGAAGGGTGGAAAGAGACTAAGCAGTACAACCTTAGACTGAAACTATACTGGCTTCCTGGGAGGTCAGTGTTCCACCCCAGAGAACTTCACTGGTGGTCCAGTAACTGGCTGGAGCTGGGGGAAGTAAATACTGCTTTTACTCAACACTGCTCAAATAAAAGGCATTAAGAGAAGAATGGTGGTGTTCTCATCCCAACAGTGTTATTTGATAAGTCAGCAAGAGCAGGCTGAGTAAGCTGTTCCTCAGAAGTATTAATTTCTTAGAACTGGCCTAGAGCCTTGGTCACTAATGTTTGTCACATATGGCAGAACAGAAAATAGAAATTAAGCCTTTATTTCAGTCTAGATTTTGAAGGCCAAGCCTGCCAAGAAGCTGCTATAAATGAAGTGCCATGTTGTTGCCCTAGGTGCTCAGGGGAGACACCTTACTGCTTAGAGAAGATAAAGAACCCCCAGGGGCCAGGCTCAGTCTACTCAATCCTTCTGACTCCTCCAGAGATTCCTCCTGGGATTTTGTCTCCAGTTCTCCCCTTATCACTTCCCTTCTGCTCTCTTCAGACAAGCAGAGGAACAACCTCTTCCCCCTGACAAGGTGAGGATGGCAAAACATGCACTCAAAAGCAGGAAGATCCATGAAGAACTCCAAAACTGTGAGGCCTGTTTCTGCTCCCATGTGCAGACAGCACCATGGTCAGTGTTCCCCCATATCCTTGTGAGCCATTTCCAAAGCCTTCA